CGCACAGCCCGCTGGACCTGCGAGGCGCCGCGCTTCGGGCGGCAGCAGCCCAAGGCGGCGCAGCAGGAGCCCGCAGCCCAGACGGAGCTCCAGAAGATCAAGTCGGAGCTGCAGGCAGCAAAGGCAGCAGGCGCAGCAGCCTGTCCAGGCCGAGCCCCCGTGGACGCTGGAGTCCAGGAAGGAACTCGAGAGGCTGGGCACCGAGAAGAAGCAGCTGGAAGCAGCATACGCGGGCGGGGAGACGCCGCCCGAATGCGCCGCCTTGCTCGCGAGCTTCGACCAGCAGATCCAGGAGTCCGCGGCGGCTCGCGAGGCCGCGACACCGCCGGGGGCACTGGCGCGCGAGGCCGGCGCCCACGTGGACAAGGCCGCCAAGATCGCGGCAGCGGCGGCCGAGCAGGCAGCCCAGGCCCAGAAGGACCTCCTGGCTGCGCCTCGCCATCGCTCGTACGTCCATTCCCTGATTTTGTTTTTCGGTTTCGTGCGTGGCTTTTTCGCCAAATGATCAAGGATGCTCCTCGATGGTCCTCGCCGAAGGAAAAATGCACACGTCCGAGCGATGGCCCAGTCCACGAGGCCCGCCAGGCGGAGGCCGCGGCGCGAGCGGAGCAAGTGGGGGCCAGGGCTCGCGCCTCCGCTGGGCGGGCAGCCGAGCTCCCCAGCGCCAGGGCCAACGTCGGGTCGGGCGAAAAGGGGGGATAGCAAAGGGGGGGGTTGAGAATCAGCTCACGTAGCTGATTTTCCCGGCGCCTCCCGGCGCCGGAGGCGGCTATGTCATGCAGCAAATTTCGTAACCCCCCCTTTCCCAATCCCCCCCTTTCGCCCGGCCCGAGCTGGGCGGGCAGCCGAGCTCCCCAGCGCCAGGGCCAACGGCGCGGGTGCCGCCCGGGCCATGCTCGAGCAGCTGGCGCGCGGCGTCGGAGCCAACCTCGCTGGCCTCGGCCTCGCCCAGGGTCTCGCCGAGCTGGCAGCCGCCGTGGAGGAGGAGCGGGCGGCCGGGCAAGCCCGCGACGCTGCTCCTGCCACTGAGCCTGATGCAGCTGACCGGACCGAGGCCAGCACTCTGAAACAGGGATGGCAGTGGACGACGAGCTCCCGAAGCTCACAGAGGAGGAGCTTGAGTGGCTGCGAGGAGGGATGGCCGAGGACAAGCGTCCCGACCCCTCGCCCAGCTCGAGAAGCACAAGCGTCGGGTCGAGGTTCAGCTGGCCGACTGCGACCGACTCTACAAGGAGGGCGCGGCGAGGGTGACGTTCCCCTGTACCTGACCATGAAGGGCCACGAGCTGGGCTTCGGAGAGTCGCCGCTGAGGAGCGGCGTCGCCCAGCACCTGCAGGACCACGGCCCGCGCCCAGGCTGGCCAGGGGCAGGCCCGAGCCCAGGCGGAGGAGGGGCGCGCGCGGCCGAGGGCGCGGCCGAGGAGGTCGCGGGCGCGCCAGCCAACGAGCCAGGCGGCGGGCGCGAGTCGAGGCGCAGAGGAGAAGCCCGGCCAAAGGCGGCGGGCAGGCTTCGCGGCTGCGCCGCAGGACCCGGCCTCGAGGCCGCCGCGGCGGCGGCGGCGAGGCCGGGCCGGGCAGGCCCAGGAAGGTGCAATCGAGATCTGCACCTTCCACGGCCTGGGCTGGGGCACCCACCCGGCCAGGCTGCCGGGGGCGACGCCTGCGAGGCGGCGCTGCCACGCGCCGCGGGAGACCCGGCTGCGAGCGGAGGCGCTCCCCCTGATTCAGGCGCCCCTCCAGGAGGAGCGCTGGAGGCGGGCCGCAGCGCCGGCGGCGGTCGCGACTGACGGGGGCCAGGATCTGGGCACCTCGGCACGAGTGGCAAAGGCGGCGCCCATGCACATCGGCATCGCGCGCCCTGCGGGGGCGGTCTCGTGGGACATCTCCCCGCCAGACAGTCGCGGCCGCGCTGCGATGGCGCGGGTGGCCATGGGCCGAGGGTCCATCGTGGCCAGCTTCTACTTGTGGACGTGCGAGGGCTTGAGCGATTGCAACGAGCACTTGCTGGGCCACGCCCTGGGGAGGTCACGCAAGACGGCGCCCCCATGGGTAGTCGGCGAAGACTTCCAGCAGACGCCGCAGGAGCTCCAGCGCAGCCCGAGCGCACAGCTTCGGGCGCCATTATCGCCTACCTGTCAACGTCCTTGGGGACGTGCATGAGCGGCGCTGCCGGGCGCACCATTGATTACTTCATGGTGGACCCCGCGCTCGAGAACAGGCTCGACGGCGTCTGGGTTGACGAGGAGCGGCCCACCGCGCCGCGCAAGCCAGTCGGCCTGCGGCTGAGCACGGAGCCCATCGAAAGACGGGAGCGGAGTCGGCTGCGCCCGAGGCCGATGCCCCCGCGCATCATAGGGGGCCAAGCGGAGCCGCCGACATATCCGCCGCACCCCAAAGTCGTGGACGACCAGATGGCCACCAAGGCCTGGGAGGTCATGTGCCGAGTGGAGCAGGAGGCCTGCAGCCTGCGCGGCGTGGAGTGGTCGCCAGACGCACCAGAGGTTGGAAGGAAAGACCCCCGCAACTTCAGGCGCCAGCGAGCCGCCGAGCCAGCGAAGGCCAATAGAGCCCCCGCGCAGGCCCCCGGGAAGCTTCGGCGCCGGGTGGACCGCACCCGGGAGACCCTCCGCACGCGCAACGCCAAAGGAGGGCTGCGGCACCAGTGCTGAGAGCTGGAGCAGCTCCGTGCCGAGAGGGCAAGGAGGCGCTTAGTGGGGCTGGGCAACCTGGGGGAGACGTAGCGAGACCGCATGCGAGCCTTGGGCGAAGAGCGTCTCGGTCCTGCCGCAGTGGCAGCCCGCCGAGCGGTCGGAGTGCCATCTTGGCCAGGCGCACCGCGTGACGAGCTGCAGGGCGAGGAGCCGACGTTGGCGGAGTGGCCGCGGAGGCCAGAGAGCGCGCGGACGAGGCCGAGTAGCAGATCCGCATCCAGCGCCAGCAAGCGTGGGAAGAAAAGCTGGCCAAGGCCGCTAGCGGAGCCGCCGGCGGGCTGCATTGCTACTCCGAACCAGCCCCGCCCTGGCAGTCCAGGAGGGCCGCAGAGCCTGAGGAGTCGGCCGCCCCAGAACGGGCGGCAGCAGCAGCCTTGGCGCCGCGGACCAAGGTGCGGCAGGCCGGCCAGACATTGCAGGGGGATAGGCCGCGGCACGCGGCAGCGCGGGAAGAGCTCCCGCCGATCGAAGTGGCGGCGATGCGGGACATGGCCACGCGGTTCGAGAAGCGCACGGGCGCGGGCGCCGACCGCTGGCATCCGTCCATCTTCGACGGCATCTCCGACGCGGGCCACCCAGGCGGTCGCCGACGTCTTTTCGAGTGGGGGCGCCCGAGGCTGACCCAAGAGAGATCGCGATCCTCGGGCGCCAGGCGGCCTGGGCAGGGCCGAGTGGCCAGCCCCACGACTCACGACGGGCAGGGGGGCCGGCAGCGGCGACGGGCGAAGGGCGGCGAGAGCCGACGCGCAGGCGGCGCCTTCGCGGGGCCCTCGCGCGGCTCGGGGGCAGCAGCCGCGGCGAGGAGCGACAGCGAGAAGATCGCGTACCTGCTCCGAGCGGCCACGGGCACGGTGCGAGGAAGAGGGCGGCACGAGACGGCGGGAGGAGCCTCGAGGAGGTGCACCATGTCGAGGCGCTGGCCCCCTGGCCAGGCCGACCCTGAAGACGGCCGGGCCTGCTCCAGAGTGGCCGAGGAGACGCCTGCGCGGCCAGCGGAGGCAGCGGCCGCCGCCGAGACAGGCGGGCGCGCGCCGGAAGCCAAGCCGACGGCGCTGCCGAACCGTGCGGCCCAAGCTGGTGCCCTCGGCGCGGGCGAAGAGCTCCATGCGGTCCGCGAGGTGCACGGCTACGTGGTCTGCACAGCATGCGGGGCCTACGCCAAAAGGCGGACGGAGGGCCTGGCCAGAGCGTGCCTGGGCTGGCCCGCCCATCCCAGCAAGGCGGACAGGAAGCGGCGCTGGCAGCGGACCGCATCCTTCGAGGCCTCCACCCGAAGGGGCAACAGGAGCCAGGACGAGTGAGGCTGCCTGTCCTGCCTGTGCGTGTTTTGTTTTCGGGAAGTCCTTGTTGCACTGTGAACACTCCGCCTGAATAATATGTGCGCTTCGCGCCGTGCACAGCGGGCACTCCGACAGGGAGTGCGGAGACGGTAGTGCGACTGCCTCGAGTGCCGTTCGCGGAAGCTCCAGAGCTTGCGTGCGTGGGAAGTCCCAAACAAACAAAACCGCCATAAGAAACACCAGCCCTCTCCACAAGTACATACAGATATAGCCTTATATACATATATATACGTGTGTGTGTGTGTGTGTGTTCACGCACGCACTATATACACAAGCATGCACATGTACACGTCTCAATCGCATCGTCCCAACCTCCGTGGGATATTTTCCAGAAGGGATAAATAAAACATGTTTGTCCGCCGGCGAATTAATGGCAGCCGAGATCAAGGTTGAAGAGGAGGGGGGGAATAATCGTTTGTCGGGGCCAGTTTTTCGTTCTGAGTCATTTTTGGACGATCCCGAGGCCCGGGAAGGGCCCCCAGAGGCCCGAAGATACCCAAAAACGCTCATCATGATTTTAATGAGGACTCGAGGGGGTCTGGGTCTCTCTAAGTCCGACTTGGAGGCTCATTCTGAGGACCTTCCTGGAGACACTCGCTCCACTCGTGCGTCGAAGCTGCGTCGAACTTGAACCTGAGTCGAATCTGAGCCGAACCTGAGTCGAACTTGGGTCAGACTGGAATCGAACTAGAGTCGAACTAGAGTTGAGCAAATTTGTTCGGTGGCCCCCCAGGGAGGTCCCCGAGACGAGCATGTAACCCGACTCTTCCTCCACCGCGGCTCCAGCAGGGCCTGGGCCCCGGAGGTCTGGACCACGTCCTGAGTCGCTTTTGGACGGTCCCGAAGCCCGGCGAGGGCCCCTGGAGGCCGAAGACTATCAAAAACCCACCGCTCATATATCTACTTCTTGCTCGGAGCGTCGGATCTCTGGGGCTTTTCCTGTCCCGCGGCTCCAGCACGTCGGGCGGGTACACCTGCAACGCCCGGAGTAGCGCCTGGGTTAGCTCGGGCATGTCCCCCCAAAGGCGGCGTTTGGAAGAAAGAGTAGTACATAGTCAAGACAAAGTCAGAAATACTCAAAACTAGGCGGAACATCGTCCCCTGACTGTTTCTTGCTGTGTTATGATACTCCTCCTGTCGAGGGGCATGCCCGACGTGACGCCTGGGCGCAGCGCCACCGGTGCGCACCGCCGCGGGCGGCGACCTGCTCCAGCAGCAGGGCCAGCATCCCAGGGGTCGGGCACTCCTGCGGAAGGCGCCGGGGGCGCAGGCGCCATGCCCCCGCCGTAAAACGGCACAGCGAGAAACAGCACGGCGTAGAGAACACTGCGCAGAAAACACTACGCAGTACACGCTGCGTTCGGGCTTTGTCGACGCCTCTCATCACATCCACTCTACCACAAGAACACGACTCCAAGAACGATAAACTAAGGGCGCGTTCCAACAAAAAACTTTGTCCGCACATAGGAATCACAAGTACGTGCAGACAGGCAGTTTTTGGCAGGCGCCTTTATATTGTCCTTGTTTGGAGGCGCGGTCTTGTCTGCAGCAAGTGTCTGGTTCAATGCGTTGCCCCGCTGTTTGCCCGAGATCTCTCAGCTCCACAATCAAGGCATCTGCGATATGCACTCCAATTTGCGCGAAGGATGCTGGCATGCGCGTGCAAAGACTACGTAGTGAACACTACGTGCTAAAAACTGCGTAAGCAGACTACGTTGCAAACACAACTGAGGACACACTGCGTAGTAAACACTTCGTGGTAAACACAACGTAGAACACACTACGCAGTAAACACGACGCATAACACACTGCGGAGCAAACACTACGTCGAAAGCACTACGTAGTAAACACTGCGAATAAAAACTATGTTGTCAAATATGCGTAGTAAGCACTACGTAGAAAAACACGATGTAGAACACACTACGTAGAAAACACAGCGTAGAAATCACTGCGCAGAGAGCACTCACACCACGTAGTAAACACTACGTAGAACAAACTACGCAGAATGCACTACGCAGTAAACAAGACGCATGATACACACGTAGGAAGCACTGCGAAGGAAAGCACGACGGAGTAACGACTGCGCAGGAAACACGACGTAGCAGACACTACGTAGAAGACGCTACGAAGTAAACGCTGCGAAAAAAAAAAAGAATGCGTGGAAACACCGCGTGGGAAACACTGCGCAGCTGAATCCCGACTACGTGCTGGTGAGTGCTCGATCTCACTGCTGAGAGACAGCTTCCTGCGCCCTCTCCGAAGGCACCGACGGCTCCTCTGCTCCTGCGCTGGCTTCCGAGAGGCACCGCCGCCTGCTCCGGCCTGCCCAATCTCAATCTCCCCCCCTGGGCGCCGCCGCCGAGGCGAGGCCCCCCGACGTGCCGAGGAGCGGCCCGACATCCTGAGCCACTCTTCGGGGGCAACCTCACGGGAGCCTCCCGTGCTCCCCTTGTCGGCCCCTGCGATATCGAGGCCGATCGACGCCAGATCGACGCTGAAGCGACGCTGGATCGACACAAAATCGACGCTGCCCGACATACAAGTCGGCGCTGTCTCATCGACTCGCAGACGCTGATCGACGCGAGCCGATGCTAAAGACGGAATTAAAAGGGTATACCAGGCTCCCACGAGTTGCTACCGGAATACTTTGGTTGACCCAACAGGGGACCCAGTTGAAAGGGGGTGGTGCAATAGATTTGAGGCAATTGTATTGCAAATGCACTGCGCCGGAGAATTGTATTGCATCTTATTGCAACCAATGAATTGTACGCGAAGATCCAGCAACACATTTGCGCGCTGGAATGTGGTTGCACGCCCCAAACCGATTGCAACCCCACAAAGCTAATGCACCAGATCTGTTGCACCACCCCATGTGACCCACTTTTGGGTCAAGCATTCCGAGGAACTGCCCGAGAAGCTTCGGGGCCACTCCTGAGCCCCGTGCGGTCCTCACCTCGGCGCCTCGACTCCGAGGGTCACCGATCCTGGGCCGAAGATCGACGTGCAACAGGGATCGGTTCGGGGAGGCAGTGAGACTCGGGCTCGGGGGACCCGTGCTGGCCCGGCGGGGCCGCCGGGGTGAGGACGAGACGCCGCCTGCAAAATCTGGCGCGAGCTCCCGCCGCAAGCACACCACGAAGACAGGACCCCCCAAAAAATCCGAGTCCAGGACGCGCGCGTCGAAACGCGTCGGCGAGCCCAGGTGCCGGCGAACCTCGAAGGACTCGAGTCGTACGCTCTGCCCCGGGCGAAGAGCGCAACAAAAGGTGCAGGGGGCGCCCTGAGGCTCCTGCACCATGGCCCGCGCGCACTGGGATGCGCTCTCGCCGACGACCGCGATCGCGACGAGGGCCACCTGGGAGATGCGGCGTTGATGGGAAGGAGGGGCCCTCTGCCAGCCAGCCAGCAGAACCAGGCCCTCGGAAGGACGCGCGCGCGGGTGGGCAGAAGCATACGCGACGGGCAGCCCTTCGAGAACTGCGCACGGAGAGAAGCGGGGAACGGAGTGCATCACGACAGCGAAGCAGAAACACGGGGCGCCCGACTGTGATGTTGCAAGTGTTGCGTAGAGTTGCCTACTTCGCTGGCCCACTGCTGGCCCACTGCTGGAGGAGCCCCCCGGAGCCCAGAAGGTGCAAAGACGCTGAAACCCCAAATCACCGATCCTCGATCGCCGATCCTCGATCCTTCCTCGATCCTGGTCGGCTCTTCACGGCGAGCCATAGATGTGAACCGACGCTCGCGGATCGTGAACCATCGATGTGAACATCATGTTGACCATCGATGGGAACAGCATGGTGAACCATCTGACGAACAGCGTGGTGGAGGAGAAAAGAGGGAGGAGGAAAGAGGGAGAAGGAGAGAGGGAGGAGGAGGAGGAGGAGGAAGATGAGGAGGAGGAGGAGGAAGAGAAGGAGGAGGAGGAGAAGAAAGAATGGTTCACAGACCCTGGTCGATCGGTGATCGCCTTCCACCGCGAACCTCGAGCAAAACGAAAGCAGCGCTGCAGACACGACGACGCCGGCGGCGGCAACGGCGACGACGTAGCTGTTCATTACGGGTCGACGTCGCCGCGACGACGGCGACGGCGACAGGCATCGTCGAGGAGCCTCTATCCTCGACCCTCGATCCCCCCGATCCACTCGATCCCCGCGATCCCCTCGATCCTCTCGATCCTCGATCCCGAAGGTCCCAAGTTTTCGGCTCACACCTCGGCCCTCTGGCATCCGTTCGGGACGATCCCTCGACGAGGCGCACATGATGGACACCTCCCCGAGCATTGGAAAAGGTCGAAATCAACGGAAACATGTGGAACACATCATCGACAACTGTTGATAAAGTTTGAACATTTTCTCGCGAATAGAACCCGGACGTCTGCCGATCTTTTCGCTGGGACCAGCTTTTCGTTCTGAGTCCTTGTTTGACAGTCCCAGGATCCAAAGCCAGGCGCTCATGCGAAAAGCCGAGCCTAGACGGCGCACCGGCAAGAATCCGTCCGAAAGGGAAGGGCCAAGAGAACTGGACTGGAAGCACGCTGGTACGCGGACACTGCGCAAGACTGGCCCTGGCCGGCGCTCACGGAACACACGCAGGGGGCGAGAGCGAGGGAGAGGGCGGGGAGAGGAGGAGGGGGAGGGGGGGGGGGAGGGCGAAGGTGCAGAAAGACACGTGCCTGCACAGACTGTGGAGACTCTGGAGACCTCGGCCCCCCCTCGACCCGACCCCCCATCGGTCGCCAGGGGCCGCCTCGAGCAGCACTGGCAGCAGCGCCAGCGGCACGGGCCAAAAGGCGAGTGGGGAGGGGCAGCGACGGCAGGAGGAGGAGGAGGAGGAGGAGGAGGAGGAGGAGGAGGAGGAGGAGGAGGAGGAGGAGGAGGAGGAGGAGGAGGAGGAGGAGGAGAGGAGGAGGAGGAGGAGGAGGAGGAGGAGGAGGAGGAGGATGAGGATGGATGAGGAGGAGAGGAGGAGGGGAGGGAGGGGGAGGAGGAGGAGAGGAGGAGGGAGGAGGGGGAGGGGGAGGAAGAGGAGGAGGAGGAGGAGGACGGGGGAGGGGGAGGGGGAGGAGGAGGAGGAGGAGGAGGAGGAGGAGGAGGAGGAGGAGGAAGAGGAGGAGGAGGAGGAGGAGGAGGAGGAGGAGGAGGAGGACGCACGCCGATAATCCTCATCCGTAGCCATAGTCCGTGATCTGTGAGGGCCACGCAGCGGCAGGCCATGCCTGCCAACGTCGGGGACCGCGCAGGAGGGGGGGGCAGCAGCAGCAGAGGAGCAGCGAAAGAGGAGAGGGAGGACAGGGTACGTGAGGCCAGCGCTCTGCGAGATGCCGCTCTTCGGCGACTCGCGGGAGGTACCGCGGCACCTCGCGCGCGGGGAACGGCGGGGCAGTCCCGCCCGCTACCGATCCCCCCGTACGAGAGTCCTCGGCTGCGGGGGGGCGCACTCGGCGACGGGGGAGGACAGAGTCCACGCCCCACAAGCCTCGGGCGCTTGCGACCCACCCAGGCCACCGTCACCTGGACCCACAACCCAGGCCCGAACACACGCCTCGAAAAAATTGAGAGGCGGGCGCCCATCCTCCCAGAGAGGCGCAACGGGCACAGTTGAACAGGTCGTCGACGGGGCGGGCGGCGGGGGCGGCAGGGAGCGGCGGGGCGGGCGCGCGCGCGCCCCCGCGCGCGCTCCCCCCGCCAGGCGGGGGCCCAACCCCAGCAGCAGCAGCACCGGCGCAGCGGAGCAGCAGCAGCGAAGAGGACCGAGGGGGCGGGCAGGAAGAAGGGCAGGGGAAAGAGGGGAAGGCAGGGGCGGGAGAAAACCGAGGACCCAACAAAGCCCACCCCGCAGGGGAGAAGCAGCGGCAGAGGCAGGGAGGAGGAGGAAGACAGCAAGCGACAGGAAGGCAGAGGGAACAAAAGAGGAGCACTAGAACAAGCGCGCGAGAGATTGAAGGGGGCGGTCACACTCAGACGACATCACCTCACGTGGCAGCCCGCACCATACGCCGTGCCCTGAACTGGCGTGCGACGCCAGTATACCGACGAGCTAGAAGACGCAATCGGGCAACGAAGACCTGGGACGAGGGGACCTGAGTCTGGCGCCGATGGTGAGCATGGGTCTTCAGGAAGGCATCGAGGAAGGCAGCACAGGCAACGTCGCGGTCGAGTCCCAAAGACGGCCCCATCAGACAGAGACATGTGAGCCAGATATCTCGGTGCTGCCACGTCTCCCTCCACGGCGCGGGTAAGGCTTCCAACCCTGGGAGACGGTGCAGTGTAAGGTCACGGAAACGATCACAGATTTTGTAGTGGAGTAGGTCATCAGGGGCCGCACATCCAAAGCAGCACCCACGGTCATTCGCATGAAAACGTGCCGAAGTACACGCGCCCCTGGGCAGTACGCGGAGAACATTGGTAGCGAGATGAGTGCACGTGGCACGCTCCACGGCGCGCAATCTAGTCCGCAGACGGAACATATCCTCGAGGGAGGCAGCAACTAACCACCGCGATATCCGTACACCCAGACACAATAAGGGAGTGGCAGCCAGACGAACCGACCGTAAATGACGATGAACCTTGGCCTGGATAGAACGGGCTGTTCGATCAATGGGGGAGTTCACAAGGTCCGCCGCATCCTCATTCGTCGTGCGTATCATCGAATGGCACCACCACCCAGAAAACATACGAGCAGGGATACATTCATCATCGGTCAGTCCACCCGGTAAGCCCTCAAACTCATATAGAGCATAGTCTAACGCCTTGCACCTCATCACCACCCGAAAATTCGTAGCTTTATCATACAGCCCCAGGTCCGCGAACTCCAGGGAGATCCCCAAATCACGCAGCTGAGTGAGCATACTGCAATTCAACGCAAGCCGAGGCCCCGCGGTAAGGATCTGCAGAGCTTCCCTATACTGACGCCGAACCGAAGGGGTGACCCTCACCAGCTGAATCCGATACTGCAAGACGGAGAGGCAATTAGATTGGAACAGACGGATAGTGGTCGCCAAGCCCAGCGAGAGAGAGCGAAGAAGACGAACTCGCTGCCAGAACTTATTCATAGTTTCCACCCAGGCCACCTCATGGGCCGACGGGCCCACCCAAAATCCGAAGTACAAAACTCGGGAGGCGAATCGGACAGCGGCAAAACGGCTACCTTTCCGAGCCATGTGGGCAGCGAGGGCGTCTCCATCCAGCGCCCCACAGATCAAGACGTAACATTTCCCCACATTCAGAGAGATACCAATCGCGGACGAGAACAAGTCGAGAAGCAGCAAGGTGGGCATGAGATCGATGAGAATGTCACGTAATCCAAAACAACAGTCATCAGCATACGCCCATTGAACACCCACCCGTTCGACGCGGCGGGCACGGATCCAGCGCAGTACAGGGTCACGGGCCAGAGCAAAGATGGTCATGGACGCAGGACCCCCCTGCCGCACACCTCGCTCCACAGGGAAAACCGTTTCAGCGGCGCCCTCAAAACAGACCAGGGCAGTATTGTTGGCACACAGGGCTCTGAAGAAACCCACAGTCTCGCTGGGAACCCCCATGGCCACCAAAACGGCAAAAATCCACTCAGCCAGGATCGAAGGGAACGCCGCCTTGAAATCGGTGAATAAGACCCCCGCTTTATCCCTCCCACACACGTGCTGAGTAAGGCCTCATTTTCCACCTCGACAACATTGCCCAGAATGTTACGCCCTCGAACCCCGCCTCGCTGAGAGGCATCCGCCGTCGCGGGAGCGACGTCGCTGAGCCCAAGACAGAAGGCATCGGAGAGGATCTTCGCATCCGCGTTCGAGAGGGAGAGCGGGCGGGTGGAGGCAGGTGCACGTGGGACAAAGTCACTGCGAACACGTGGGCCACTGCCCTTCGGGAGGAAGACCATGCGACTAACTCGACACTCAGGGGGGAGCGCCCCTCCTGCGCCGTTGAAAACCTCCTCGTAAACCTCGAGCAAAGCAGCGGTAGCCTCGGGGACCTTCCAGCATCCATACGGGACCCCATCTTGGCCAGGAGCAGCATGAGACTTATGGCCGACAAGGCCCCGAAATTCGTCAACGTCAAGTTTCCATCGCGGGGCAGGAGTACGGTCCCCAATAGTCTGAACGCGGGCCAAACGTTTCTTGCCAATGAGTCGGATCGTGATCAGCCCGGGCAAAGACCTTACTCCAATGGGCAACCAGAGCCGCAGTAGCCGCTTCTGGGGAGGCACACGGGGTCCCGTTCTCGTCCAATACGCCTAGCAGCCCAGTCCTCCTCCTCATGAGATCCCACCCACGCCGAAGAGCCACCAGCCTCCGCCTCTTATTGGTCCTAACCTCCTCCACCTGGTTACAATGATCCAACTCCTCCAGCTCCGCATCAAAGCAACGCCCCTTCAAGGTCAGTACCAAACTGTGGAGGCCACCAGGATCAATGCACACACCGCTGTCGACGTCGAAGAAAGGCAGGAGAGAGCCGTAGCAACGAATGGCACGAAGACAGAGATACCACTGCCGCCCCCTCCATCCACGGTGTGCCATGAATGCAAAGTGGAGCCGCTCCGCATCGCTGGCCGCTGGGCGACACTTAAGGGACTTCTTAAATTCTACAGCAGCCGCGCCGAAAACTTCTTTCACCCGTGGGAGTTTCTGGGCAGGGTCCGACGGGAGCGTCGGCTCCTGCAGCTGTTCGGAAACCATCCTGTGATAGTCGACATGCCGGCTGATCCATTTCGGAACCGAGAAACGACCCCTCGGGGTCGGGAGGGAAGCCGCGGCAGCAACTGGAATGCGATCGGAAGAGGCCCCTGGATGCATGAGGGTGCCGACAACGTTGACAACAACGGTCATCTCATTGAGAATACCTGCAGGAAGGGTCGTGTAAATCCGATCTACTCTGGCCAATCCCCTCAATTCCCGATTCACAATATCTCTTCGGGTCGGGTCGGGCTGGTATAATTCGCACCAGTGGCTACAATGTTCCTGAAAAAAACATCGCATTGCATACGGTCCCCAGGCCCAATCTCCCCTGAGACCAGAGACCTACCGTCCCCCATCGCACAGAAGTTCCAGTCTCCCAGAATGACACCCATAGTATGCGCTGCCGCAGGAAGGGCGGCATTGATGAGGCGTAAGTACTGATGATAGATATGGACGTCATCGCACGTGTTAGGCATATGAACATTTACCACGACCAAGTCGCCTCGAGGTCCCCGACCATGGACGAGTAACACCCGCCCAGGAACGACCGCAATCGGAGCGATTGAGTCGAAACAGTCACATAGATCCGAAGACAAGAACGTCACCACCCCACCCGCGTTCCGATCATCCAGAAAGCTCTCAAAAAAATGCCCAATCCGCATTTCGTCCCGCAGGATAACCAAGTCCGCTTCAGATCCGTGCGTCTCCTGTAAACACATGACCTGATACTGTAAGAGCAGCTGCTTAGCCCGAAGGAAGCGTGAACGTGACCGAGGTGAATGAGACGAGAGAGAGGCAAAGAGCGCGCGCGTGTTCCAACTGCAGAGGGACAGAGGACGGGCAGGACGGTAGACACCACCTGCTTCCCCAGCAGGCGGCGAGAAGGATAAGGCACTGTCACTTGCATGTTGTGCGCCAAAATTAGCAGGGAGGGCGGACGAGCACTCAGTAGCCGAACCCACTGGACTTCTCCCCGCCGCCCACTCACCTGTCGAACTGTGCCGATACTCACCGAAAGGGGCGAATCTCTGCAAACCTGGCGCGCAGACACTGTGCATGTTGCTGCCTACCCACTTCCGTCAATCCATCGATCTTGACGCCGCACTGAACGGTGCCCGCAGCGGGGCCATTATCGACAATAGAAACCTTTACAACCTGCACGGGGACACCGTTGTCCTTCATCACATAAACCGCACCTCCTAATCCCGTCGACCCCACCTTGTCAGCCCCAAAGATTCTGGAGACATGCTGGCGCATATTCCCAAGATAGCAGAACAGCTTCCTGGATGAAGGGGGGGAGATCGCGTCGGACCCGTAGCTGCAGGTCAGGGCCGCCCTCGGGGTTCGGGGAGGAAAACGCGCCCACGGACGATGCCATCCCGTGGAACGTGGAGGCCTCCAGGTTGGAATCAGTGTCCAGGAACACCTTCTTACTGCAATCGTAGGCCTTGACCTGAATCGAACCCTGAGTCGAAGACGGAGCGCAGCGGGAAAGGATGACCTGGACTGCCTCGCGGAGCGTTTTCTCCATCAGCGGCCGAGGGAAACCGAGAACCACAAGACGCGAGGGGTTGCCCACGAGACCAGAGTCGATCTTCCGCCGTACTTGCCTTTCATCATCCCCACGAGGTGTCGGGGTCCCCAGGTCGACGACATTCCGAAGGTTCTGAATCTCATCGCGCATCGTCTGGATCGTTCCCTTGAGCTCTTCACGAATGGCAGATTCAGCGGTCTCTCGGTCCTGAATGCACTGAAGAAGAGCCTGTTCATGGATCGCACGCATCTGCTCGAAATTTGCGGCCGTCTGTTTGGCCAATTCAGTGTGCGCCTGCTGTAATGTCTGGAAATTCTTCTCAGCTGCTATCATCTGACCCTGGATTCCAGAAATCTGTTGGTTGATCTCCTGAACGCCGAGATTCAACTGACTGGACAGGCTGGCGACTGACGACGACAGAGGAGCAATCATATCACGCATGGCGGCAAGGATCTGCTCGGTGTCCCTCTTACCCTCCGAGCATGTACCTCCAGGCGCCGGCGGGGGAGTGCTCATCCCTCCAGGGGAGGCGGGAGGAGTGGATGACAGAGACACGGGCCGCGAGTCGCCGCCCTCGGACGGCATTGCGGGAGGAGAGAGCGGCCTCGGAGGGCCAAGGGAACGCGGCCACGGCGGGCCAGGGGAGCGCGTCCGCTCCCGGCCTTGGTGCCTGGCCACCAGGCGCCTCGAGAGAGGTTGGAAGTTCAGGAGCAGGCCCCTTGAGCCAAAATGGCTACGGAAGAGGAGGAGGAGGAGGAGGAGGAGGAGGAACGGCGACGGCGACGGGCAGCGTGGAGGGTCCTGCACCCGGGGGTCCCCTCGATCCTCTGTCCCCCCGACATCCCCTCGGCCCCCTCGATCCCCTCGGCCCCCTCGACCCCCTCGGCCCCCTCGACCCCCTCGACCCCGTCGACCCCCTCGACCCCCTCGGCCCCCTCGATCCCCTCGACCCCCTCGACCCCCTCGAACCCCTCGACCCCCGCGAGCGTCGACCCCCTCGACCCCTGAGACCCCCTTCCGGGGAGACCAAAAGGACCTCACATACATCACCACCCCCCGGCATCATCCTGTAGTGCGCTCCGACTGCACTGTCGAGGCGAATCCAGCCGTGGCGACGGAGGGCTCCCCCGGGAGGGAGGCGAGAACGAGGCAAGGGCAGAGAAATCGGTACCGCTTCCCTCTGACTCGATGCCCATCAACCCTTCTGGTCCCCTCGACCCCCCGCGATCCCATCGATCCCTTCGGCCCCCTCGACCCTGCCGATCCCCTCGACCTGGTCCATCTCCTCGACCCCCTCCATCCCCTCGGCCCCCTCGACCCCCATCGACCCCTCGACGCCCTCGATCCTCTCTCGATCCTCCCTCGATCCTCCCTCGATCGAGGATCGAGGATCGAGGATCGAGGATCGAGGATCGAGAGAGGATCGAGGGAGGATCGAGGGAGGATCGAGGGAGGATCGAGCTCGGCCCCCCGCCTTGAGCAGCACGGGCAGCAGCGCCAGCGACACGGGCTCCAGGCCCGGGCCGCAGGCCACGGCCAGCGCGAACAGCGCTCGGCAGGCCTCGCGGGAGACCGCGGAGCGCAGGTCCTGCACCTTGGGCGGCTCCAGAGCGTGCAGGGCAGTTTTTAAGACATTGCATTTTTAAAATCTAGGATTTTGAGTACATGATTAAGATATGAATGAATTGTTGCATGAACTTATCGTTGTTTTTTAAACTAAATCCCTGCATCATGATCCGCACGCGGAGCATGTATTAAAAACGGCACTGTGCCCAAATCGGGGATCTTCTGACCCGGGTCAATCCAGACCCGGGTCAACCCGGGTCAGTCAGGTCTCGCAGAGGCCGGCAAAATCCTGCAGGATCCTTCACCCAAGCCCGGGTCAATGCGCGAAGGATCCTGCAGGGTCCTTCGCACCCAAACCCGGCTCAATGCGACCCTGGCCTCTGCAGGATCCTGCAAGATCGGGCGCTCTCGCTGAACCCCGTTTGCAGGGACCTCCGCCTCGAGGCTCCCCACAGAAGCCCGGGCTGCCACGCCGGGGAGGCCCCGAGACTGGGCGCACCGCGCGGCAGGCCACTCTGGGGGGCAAACAAACCGACCTCGCTTTTGACCACCCTCGCTTCCAAGAGCTACCAAGCGATGCCAAACTACGGCCTGTACTGGTCAAGCCGCTTGACGAGGAGGCGCGTGGCATGACCTGGTTCTGCCTGGAAGCGAAAGCGGGGTAGGTCATTCTCGGGTCGGGCGAAAGGGGGGGATACCAAAGGGGGGGTTTGAGAATCAGCTCGCGTAGCTGATTTCCCCGGCGCCTCCCGGCGCCGGAGGCGGCTATGTATCGAGGATTGGGCCCCTCGGTGGCACCGAATCAAGCTGCATGCAGCAAATTTCGTAACCCCCCCTTTCCCAATCCCCCCCTTTCGCCCGGCCCGACATTCACGCTCTGACACTCTGCGCGACGGAGTCTCCGAGGCCGAGCCGCACGCCGCGGCTCCTGGCCACGCCGGTTCGGCCGCGGTGGCCCTCTGTCGCACGGGAGCGCCTCGCATGGCCCCCCCCCGCCGCATGCCCTCTGCCACGAGGCGGTCTGGCCAGCTGGCCCCGGCGCCGTCCTGCCTCGCGCCGCGGGCCCACGGGGACGCCATCCAGAGCGTCGCCCTCCAAGCCGCTGGAGCGGCAGGATCGCGAAGGGGGGGACGACAGGGGAGGAAGCGAATCGAGCCGATGGAGGCATCTGAAATAGCTTCCGAGCAGATTGAGAGTCGCGCCGCATAGCGACTGCATCGGGGATGCATCGACGATCTACGGACTCCATATCGAGCCGCATCGGTGATGCATGGACGATGTGGCGCGTTCCTCTGGCACCATCCGCTTGGAACCCATAGAGAAGAGGCATGATCACGATGGGAGAAAACGAGAGGATACAAAAGACGCAACTCATGAGATGGGTTCATGGCTCCCTGGATCAGCGTGGGGATTGCTAATGATGGGATAGGAAGAATATGGGTGGATGCTAAGGTGGCTTACCTGGGGCCTAACCAAGCTTACAAATGGGCTGCGAATGCCTCGAATGGTTTGGGCAGGGTCGTTACCCCCCTAAGCCGCTTAGGACACTTGCCCGCTCATAAGCCATGTTAGACAAGATCCGCCGGCCCCCTTGCGGGGCCATCAGGCTACGAGGGTTAAGGTTGCTGCTCCCTGCGCCAGTTCCAGTTTCCAGTTTCCATTGTTAAAGTGCTGCTTTCTGCTTCCTACTGTAAATTGTAACTGTCCGCGCGAGGGGGGGAGCCGAAAACTACCCTGGTTAACGTCCCCCTGGAAGGTTCTCAGAATGTCTGGGGGGGGGGGCGTGGGACACTAAATATATGAGTTTCGTGCCCCCGAAACCAGAATCCCTTGCAAATGACGCTGTATTCGCGCCCCCGAGTCCACGATCCCTCGTAAATTACATCACGTTCGCGTCTCCGAGGCCACGATCCATCAAAAATGTACGCCACATGTGCGTCTCCGAGGCCACGATCCCTTGTAAATTACTCCACATTCGCGCCCACGAGGCCACGATCCCTTGTCATTTGCGCCACATTCGCGCCCCCGAAGCCACGATCCCAATTGATTTACCTCATTTTCGCGCCCCCGAGGCCACGATCCCTTGTAAATTACAACGAATTCGCGCCCCTGACGCCACGATCCCTTGTAAATTACACAGCGGGCGCGCCCCCGAGGCCACGAATCCGCCTTGCGGAGGCTGCCGAAAAGACGCTCCCCCTCGGCAAACAGAAAAACGGCAATTTTCTGTATTGGGATATGTGATCCGCTGGTTTTCTTTTACCCCCCCCCCACGTTTCTGGAAAATTCTGCGGCGGGTTCCACATTCACCCCCCAGGCCACGATCCCTCGTAAGTTGCGCCACATTTGCGCCCCCGAGGCCACGCTCCCGCCACCACATTCGCGCCACCGAGGGAACGATCCCTCGTAAATTACACCGCTGTCGCGCCCCCCAGGCCACGATCCCTGGTAAATTACGCCACATTCGCGCCCCGAGGCCACGATCCCCCGCAAATTACGCCAAATTCGCGCGCACCCCCCACGCTGCGAATCCACCTCGCGGAAGCTGCCCAAAGGCGCCACTCCTTCTCCAGAGCAAAAAAAACCTTCCCAGAGATTGCCTGAAGCAATCCCCAGCCGTTCCCAGAGCGCTTCCAGTGAACAACTGGAGGAAAACGCTAAGAAGGCAACAAAGCGTTCAACAACAACTTCAACATCTCAATCTGTTTTGCTCATCGCCACCCGCCCTAGCATGACGTTCCCGCATGTCATCAAGACGGCGCCCGAACATCCCAATATAGCTCTGCTGTATCCCGTTCTGATAGAGAGGGGGCCGGCGGCAGGTGGCGAAGCCCTTACATATATAACCCAACATTGCATCCAATGATAGCCGCCCTATTGCCTTAGCAGCTCACGCGCCGATACACGAAGAAAGTATCCGGAGATCCCGAGGCTGGAAACCCGCAATGAATTGAAAAACATGTCCCAGAATCTCGAGCCTGATGGGCGATTGGGGGCTGATGCCTCCCCACCTGAGGCCCCCGACCCCTGACGTCACGATTTCTGTCACACAACCAACCCCCAGAAATCTCGACCCATTACCCGAAACCGGTTCGCCCCGAACCGTTTTTTGTGGCCCCAGAGCCCAGCGAGGGCCCCCAGATGCTTTTTCACAATGCGAGGGGGTCTGGGCCCATCTGTAGGTCGGGCATGTCCCCCTGCAGGCCGATTGTGGACGAAAAGTAGCCCCCGACTATATTTTCACTATTTTGCAATTTTCCCCCTGTAGAGGAACACGCCCAAGCCCATCTCCCACAATGTTGACACGATGCTGAATTGAACCTCGCAGGACCCTGAGGCCTGACGTTGAGAAAAGATTGCCCCATTATCGCAAAAATCACGCCGCCCAGAGAATGAGACCCCATCCTTCTGCGGCATTCTTCGAGCCCGACAATATGTAGTAGAAGGGAAAAAATACCTCCAGAATAACCACCCCGACACGCGGACCCGTTCACTAAACGCCCCCACTGAAGGAATCGGACAGGGCAGAGCTGTTTGGTAAACGCCCAGAGCCGTTTAGTAAACGCCAATTGTCCGGTCTGGGTGGTTCTCCTCCCTTTATGTATGGCCCCCAGGACCGAAACCAGTCCAACGCCCATAATGAGAAAAATGCAACGCCCAAATCTCAGGAAATTTGCATCCTAAGACACGAAGTCCGCCGCACAGGGCGATTGGGTGTCGATGGGGGTCTGGGCTACTAGGGGTCGGTGCGCATCGACCGGTTTTAGGAAAATAAATCAGCTCCCCAGCGGTCGTTCAGCACAATTCGGGCACCCCAGGAACGCTCTCGACGAGGCGCAGCTGTTGGAAACCATGCCAGGCTTCGAAACCTTCCGAGCAATTTCCGAAAACTTTCGCCCACCCCCCCCGCTGAAAAGATCCCCCCCCAACTCCATCGTGAGCGCGGAGCCCGCCTTCGGGTTCCGCGGAGCACCTGCCCACCTAGGAGGGTGGGCTCGTGGGGCTGGGATACAAGGCCCAGTGGAGCTAGGGGTTTGGTTAGACGATGCCGAGGCAAAGACGAAGCCGTGCGAACGCACAAGCTGAAATGAAGCGGCCACGAGAACCATGCTTTTTGTTTGCGGCGATACGGGTGTTCTGGGGGAGGGGAGGGGGGGGGGGCGGGGGCATAACGTAACGCCCCCGCCGCCCACTGTGAAAGACTGTGGCGCAAGACGCACTGCGGCAGCCGGGAACGCACTTGGGGCAGGAGCGCCACGTTCTGGGGAGAGGGGGGAGAGAAGGGATCCCGCGCGCGGCATGGCCGAAAGGGTGCCTAGAAGACGAACAAACAAAACCACAAAGAAATATGCTTAGTTGAAACACATTGTAGATATGACAAAGCTACGATACATGCATACAAATATTATACCTATATACATGTAGTGTTGTGTGTCCCTGTATTGATCATGTTTACGATACTTATATATGTCTATACGATGACGCCATGCTTACGAGTGACCATGCTTCCGGTATCATACGTTTCATGCTTACGGTGCCATGCTTACGATATCATATTACGACCATGCTTACGATATCATGCTTACGATTGATCAAGTGTATTGTATAGATGTATAGCAAAGTTCCGATATAAACATAAATATCGATATGCTATGTTTACCGATGAAACGTTGTGTATTTCTGGATTGGCCATGTGATCTTCAACACCAAAAAGACCCGCAGCCCACCGCCCTGGGGCTGGCGCCTGCGCCCCGAGCCGCTCCCTCAGGCGGGCCGCGCGCTGCGCCAGGGCGGCCCCGGTGCCCGCCTCCCGCGCGCCGAGCGCGAGCGCCTGGACGCGTTTCAGCGCGGCCGTGCGCTCGCTCCAGTCCTGTGTGTTGGGGCGGCGGAGCAGGAGGGGGAGGAGGAGGAGGAGGAGGAGGAGGAGGAGGAGGAGGAGGAGGAGGAGGAGGAGGAGGAGGGGGTGGAGGAGGAGGAGGAGGGGGAGGAGGAGGGGGTGGAGGAGGAGTTGGAGGTTGTGGAGGAGG